TAAAAATAAAATTCTGGATTTTTGACTTCTGACAACAAGTATAAACATCCTGTTTTGCTTTGCAGATGGAAAAATCTGTGGAGATTAATGAAAGCATGGATATCTTGAAAGATGTGGAGATGTTGTGTTTCGGTTTTCAAGCGGGGAAGACTCTGGAGAGATTCGGATTATATTTGAAGGAGGATTATTTGGAAGATGAAGATGAAGATGAAGATGCCTTTCTGAATGCAGAAGACGGGGAAATTTTGTAGTAAACCCTTTGTTCTTATGGTTGATTTATGCTGAAGGGGAGACTTGTCTCTTGCAAAAGTGTACCTGTAAATTTTGATTTTTTTTTCTCATTCAGCTGCTGGGAGCTTTGCTTGCAACTCTTGAGTTGATGGAAAAAAAGTGTCTACAGCCTTGGAAATATTGTCCTATTTCATCCTGCTATCAACTGAAGTTGATGAATGAATTGTATTTAGTATAAGAATATGTAAGTTAAATATGCAATCAACAATGCAAAATTTTGGGGTGTCCAGATTAATCATTTTGGAGAACTGGTGAAAAAAATAAAATAAAAATTATTAGTTTTCTGTGTTTCTTTTATCAAAACCTAGAGCCGGAGAGCGATTTCATTCTCATGACATGGTACCAAGCACTCTTATAACTTAGGAGTTGTTTGGATATAAGATGTTTTGATTTGTTTGTATTTTTTGGTTTGATATGGTTAATTTAGAAAAATATTGGTATGGTTAGTTGTTAGTGGAATTGTGAGTTTATATTAATATAATATTTAAAATAAAACAATTAAAATTAATTTGATGTAAATGTAGGAGACTGATGATGTGAAGTAATAATTAGTTAAAATTATGTTAGAGATGAATACTAAAATTATATTAAAATTAGTGTAATGTGTAATAATAATTGTGATAAATGTTTAACTATATTGATAGTATTGTGGATATTGGAGTTGAAGTTAAAAGTTGAATTATATTTGAGTTAGAAAAAGTGATTAATTAAAAACGATTAATTTTTTTCGGAAAATTTTGTATCCAACCATGTTTACAAGTTAAAACGATTCTTAAATAATGAAACTCTTAAATTCTGTGCCTATACTTTTAGGTTGTTACCAATAAGAGAAGATTGAGGAAGTTGATTTTACAATATAGCAAAGACAAGAAATGCTTCAAGGGTAGAACAAAAGTTTACTAGATTTGCATAGTGTCTAGTGCCTTACAATTGAACACAAGTCTACAAGACTACATCAAGTAAGCGTTTCGGTAAAACTAAGTTCCAGCAAAAGCTATCTAAAGAAAACTCAATTGGGACACATTTAAGCCACCAAGAAACTACACACTATAACGGTTCTTGGCACCCCTGTCGAGCTTCTTAGCATCATCCTGCATAAGAAGTGATGGCAAATTCATAAGAAAAGAGTACAAGGTAGATTAATATATATTAACTCCAAGTAGGGCACAAAACTTACGTGGAATATGAAACCAATCGTATCGTTATAATCCAGAAACTCCTTCCATTGTCTTCCAATGCTTAGCTGAAAAACCACAATTTTATGTCAAAACCACAGTCGAAAAAGATTTTATGCTGCTAAGCAAAACTATAGTATCAACAAATTTTCCAGTATTCAATGGTTACAACAAATATCGACAATCGTCACAATTCCTCGTATGCGGTCAAATTAGATACATTTGATAAGATATTAAAATTAAACCTCCCAGCCACTAAGTAAGACAGAGACGCAAGATTAAGTGATATCTCGATTAAATTCACAAGTCATTTGTAGAACTCGACCAATCTTGAAGCTATTAAATACACGAAAAAATTAAACAAAAAAAGCTAGGGAATTAATAAAATAGAAGATGCTGAGAGAACTGATAATTATCGACACAATCTACAACAAACTGATGCAAAATTTAATATAATCAAACAAACCTGAGCAGCTTCATTTGCAGCATTCTTTGTCCAAATAGAAATTTTCTCCTGCCTTGCCCTGACATTGATAACTGCCCCACAAATCTCGTCACCATAATCAAATTGTTCTCCGATCATTGCCAGTAACTGATTGAGATCCAAAAGACAATTAGGCTGACTGAATATGTCAATGAAAAGATAAACTCACACACACACACACACACTGGAACTTACTGTATAGAGCCAACAAGTGTCGGATTTGCCCCTCGAGAAAGTAACAGTCCACTTTCCTCCATTGGCACAAACAGGATCTTCCCATTTTGGTTCTATTTTATTCTTGAAACAGTGAAAATCTGCTCCAACTGCTAGCTTGCTAGGGTGGTGTATATTGTTGTAAACACTGCAGCCAAGCCAAAACAATATCAATGTGGTGTAATTCACAAAGATATATATAGGGCTCCTCAGGGAACAACGGAAATATGCAATAAAATTAAGTACACAATAAAATCGCCAACTTTGTGGAAGCAACAATGTCCATAAAAGATTAAAAAAAAACTAGGGCTGAACCAGAAAGTCTAAAGTATAATAAAACAAAGATCATCTTCTTCGCCCTCAGTCCTTGGTCAAAATACAAGCTCAATAAGGTCTCAGCACAACAGAAGTCACAGGGATAAAAAGCTAATGTCACTAGCATAATATGTATATATACGCAGCAATCCTGCGAATATCACAAGCTTGCACCAGAACAAGAACACTAGGCAACTCAGACAAATTAATCAAAATGAGCATTAGATGCATTTTTCCTACACATATCCAATATTTTAAGCATCTCTTTCATCATAATTAGATAGCTCTTAGATCACCGACATGAAAATAAATCACGGAAATATAAAGTCCACAAAACATGAATCTACAGTCACAGAGCCAATACACAAAAAAGGAACCGAAATCCCAATCAACTAACCGCACAGTCAATGAAGAAGAAAAATCGCAAAATGAAACACACCTCCAGAAGTCTTCGACGGTGGAGAAGGTATAGATAGGGCGAATTGAGCTTCCCCAAGCGGCCTGCTTAGATTTAGCCGAAGGATTGTCGAACCAGAACGTCCACGAATGCTCCAAGGGGTGCTTCGGGACCGGCGCCGCCACGGCCGCTTTCTCCGGATCGTCGCCGACGATCTCCCCTTCCTCGGCGTCCGACTCGTCTCCGGAAGGATTGTGGTGGTTCTTGGCCATTGATGTTGAGTCCTCTGTTTCCTCTTTTACGGCGGTGGCTAAATTCTCAGATTCTTCAACCATCTTTCTTCTTCCCCGCCTTTCTTTCCGATGATTAGCGGTTCTCCTTTGAAGGCGTTGTGTTTTTTGGGGATTGTTAGGTGCTGTGTATGTTTTATCAGTGGGCTGAAATTTACTTTTGAGAAGGTGCTCTTTCATCAGCCCATTAACCGGCCCATATAGTAGTAAACAATTCGGGCTGCCCCTGCTTAAATGTCAGTAATGTTGGACCCGTCAACCTTGATGATCAAATAAATATGTTTTTTTTTTCTCTTCATTCTAATTAATTATGTGGACATATGAATGAACTAATTAAGAACAAAATTATTTTATGATTAATTGTTAGAAGATTAACTTTAAAGAATTACTTAAAGGTAGTATTTAAGAGCCCACTCTTAAAGTTAAATTACAATATTTTTTTTTTGAAAAAAAAATCAATGTTCTGTTGAAAAGATCCAACAATAAAGTATTTTTATTTTTTAACGAAAATTGCAATATTAACCATAGTTGAAAAAATTTAATAGGTTTTCAAAGAAAAACAAAACTAAAAATGTTAACTTGGAATATGCAATTTATGTTGGAACTGTCTTTTTCCGCTGATTATTCTAATTGCTGTAAAATTTGTCGCTCAAATCATACAATTCTTTCCATTCCATCTGAATAGTTTGGTTTAATTATTCTTTGGAGAATAAGTTATAGAATCGTAAAATTAGTTTGTTGAAATATCTTACTGTTAATATTTGACATATATATTTTTTATATAACGTTATTCCAATTAATATAAATGTTTCATTATCAACCCATGTGCTTCGACAAGTTTGTTCTAATATATTACTCACACCCGGTTGGCCGGTTATGTTATTTGCCACGAGACAAGATCATGAATATATAACATTCTAATCAACTCTTATGAATTTGAGTGCTTGGAATCAAGCGTTATTCACTCGCACCTTTTGGAACATGCAAGACAAAAAAGACACTCTTTGATACAAGTAGATCCACAATGTATACTTGGGAGAAAAGTCCATTTGGGACTGACAAATCCGCAAGGACTCTCCACTCTTCAAATACTTCTTTGAGATCCGGAATACCTTGGTTGCCAAGGCAGGGAATGAACAAGCCGCTAGAAGTCTCATCTATCGTTGGAGCTTGCGTGGTAAGCATGATGGGGTGAGATGTTGCTACGAATTCTTAAGGCCCCGAGGTACAATGGTGCATTGGACGGGCGTTGTTTGGAGCCCTTGTAACACCCCAAAACACTCATTAATTCATCCTTTGGTTGGGAGCGCTCAATCGTCTTCGAACAAAAGACCGCCTAGATTTTCTTGCGATTGATTCGACTTGCTCTTTGCGGTACAACGGATGAATCTTTGAAGCGCCTCTTCTTCGAATGTCCCCTTTAGCTTGGAAATTTGGGATGTGATTCGTGATTGGATTAAACTTCATCATAGGCCATTAACTCTCAAGGGTGCTCTAAAATGAATCAAGAGGGAGGCTCAGGGGGCAAGGTGGCAAGTCAAGTTGAAGAAACCGGCGCTTGTAGCTACCGTTTACTTCATTTGGAATACCCGTACTATATTTTCGATGTATCCGAATGTTCTTGCCAAAATGGAGAGGAAAGCCCGTGGGATTGGATTGGCCTAACCTCCATTTGGACTCTTATTTGGAGTTTTCTAAGGGTTTTCGCCTCCCATTATTTTGATTAGCGAGTGAGGAACTGAGTATGTGGTTACCCACTAGGTTTTTTGTTTGCCGTTTGACGGTTGCTGTAATACCATTTTTTATTTATATATCTTTAATTTACCGATAAAAAAAAACATTCTAATTAGAATAATAATTATTAATACGTTATGTAGACAATAGTCCTTGATGATCTTTTCCAAAATCTACTTAAAAACAGANAAAAAAACTAACTTCACAATATTCAAGGAGAGGAGAAATATCAACGATACCATAATAAAAATATTAATTGATAATATTACAACCATGCAAAACACACGTACACACCTTATAATTACACAACAAACTTGAACTCTAATATACTTGAGCATCATTAACATACATATAAAATCACACTCATATTAATGAAAATTTTTCATTCAAGTAGTCGATGAAAGATCTCATATTAGTTTTGTTTCATCCCTTAAGCTACCTTCTTTTACTTTCAGGTAGTCGATGAAAGATTTCCCATCAAGTTTTCGCGAAAAAAACTCTTTTAAATATTGCTCCATAGCCATGCGCCTAAAGATTGGTGGATTCTTATCGTTTATAAGCGAACGTGAGGGGCCCACTTCAGCTTCGAACTTAGGGTTGAAAAACATGGCAATGCTGATCCTCTCTTTCTCTTGATTCACAGTAGCCTTGTGCTCGATGCTCTTATAAAGTCCGTTGCTCAGTATCTAATGATTTTATTGAAATCAAACTTTTCTAATTAGATTTTTTCAACTGAAATTTCAAGATCCTAAGAACACGTTTTTCAACGATTTATAATTGTAAAAATTTTTGTTGGAATATATAATTTCTACTGAAATAATTCATTTTCCAACTATAATTCCATCCGTCAAAACCGTCTTCAAAGTGATGGACAGTTAAAATTCTGTCGAAAATAATTGAATAACCAATAACTGAACATTTGATGATGCATGCAAATTTGATCATTAATTCAAATTAGCTATCATTCCTAAATATTAAAACCTATATATTCATGGATAAATAGATGCATGAACCAATTGATCACCTAATATCCAACTAATCAATAGTAATAATTAATAATGATAACATAATTAATTTGCAACATCTAACTAATAAACATTAATTATAAGTGGACAAACATATATACCTCAACAATGTCTCCTAGGTTAACAACAAATGCATTTGGTAAGAACTTCACCGGCATCCAAACACCATCTTTTTTCACCTTCAAACCTTCAACTCTATTGACCTGCAAAAGTATGGTAATTCCACTCCCATCCGAATGTGGCGTTAGCCCGTGAACTTTTTCTGGCTCGGGACATGGTGGGTAATAAGTCATTCTCATTGCCTGCATCCCGTTTTCGAACATTTCTTCGACTTCTTCTTTCTCGATCTTTAACGACTCGGAAATTAATCCGAATATAGCCGAGGCGAGTTTTTGTAGCTCACAAATGTAAGCTTCTAGGGTTTCTCTGCAAAAGAAAATATGGCAGCCGATTTGTGTTAGTTAGGTCTAAAATAATCCGAGTTTTCAATCTCATAATTATAACGCGCGCTATTTCATCAATTGCAAAAATATATCTCATACACACAGCTGCGTTAGTACTATTGCAAACATATCGAAATGACTGATTACTTGTTCAGAGTATTACATTTGATGTTAAATTTAGGTTTAAATACTAAAATTGGTAAATATATTACTATATATATAAGGTTTTTAGATTGTGACCCTAATTAACTAATATAATAGCCTCCAATAATTTAAGTTTCACGTATAAAATACTAATTTCAGTACTAAGGTTTGTTTTGCACGGCAATTCATATCCTCAAACCCAGTTTCGTGTTGCAATATGACTATGCAACTATAAAATAATTATTAAGTACATTAACTATTATAGACATGCAGTGAATAACAAAATCATATCCATACTAAAGTTTTGCTACTTTTCTCTTTGAGATTGATATATATTATTGGCTAAATTACAAAACATAGTTGTACGCGCTGGCAATAATAGCAATCATCTTTACGAACTGATATTAGTAGCCAACAACCTTCAAAATTTTGAAGTATTAACTAAATCTGGTCATATTCGACATATAAATTGCAAAATACAGCCAATATCTTTTTACGCTATGGCAATAATAGCCGTTGAATTTGGTCGGACTTGGGTAATTATCCCGAAATTTTAGAAGTTATTGGCTGTTATTGCCAATTCGTAAAGATAGTGACTATTTTTGCCACCACGTACAAGATATTGACTATATTTTACAATTAAACCTATATTATTGCATAGAAGATCTCTCGGTTGAGTTAATTAATTTGAAGTTTGCTTTCGGTCGAAATTAATTCAAGATATCAAGAAAATTGTAAAAAGACTATATAAAATATAGAAATATAGGATAATTAGGACCTGAGGGATTTAGGGAAACTTGGCAAAAGATGAGACTTTCTTCTATGGATTGGATTTGTAACCATGAAAATTCTATCTGCCCAATCAACTTTTTGGTCTTGAGAAACAATTATTGTTGGGCCATAGCCCTCAACTTCTCCAGCCCTTGTCTTATATTTCAATCTTTCTTCCAATGGAAGCTTATAAAATCCTTGGACTTCATTTTTCACTTTCTTAATCAATGAAGGCTCCACTCCATGGTTCACTACCTGCAAATTAATTAAATCATATATGTATATATATGTAAATGCTTAGATAAAATTTCACCTCATATATATTCTTGTAAAATATTTTATATCAAAAGAGTGTGCATTAATTGCATGCAATTTTAATTAAAAAAAAAAAAATTAACATGTAACAAATGCTATAAATATTTATATATATAATGAGAACCTGAAATATGCCCCAATCTTTGCATGCTGAGTGAAACTTCTCAAGATTGGAGTTTTCTTGGCTATCTTTATTAGCAAGCAACATTTTCAAGTCAAGAATAGGAATTTTCGCGAAGGAATTCTCTTCATGAGGGCATGAAATCGAGGGCTCTTGATGAACAAGATAAGGAGATGGGATTTCATGAATTGGGTTCTTAACCATTTCTTGAACACTAATATTCATAACTTCCATTATTA